TAACAAGACTCGCGACCTATTCCAGACGACTCCTAGATGCAAATTTGACTAGCGCAGTGACTAGGGAAAACGCAGCAGTAGACTCAAAGTCAGGGTCAGTGACTACAGTAGCGAGGAGACGATTGACAGTAGGACTGGCAGCACGAGCAAGGTTAGACTCAGGTTGAGGAACGTGCGAAAGACAGGACGCTGGAGGCTCAGGCAGGACAACACACTGTGGAACAGAGGAAGGATGAAGTGCCATATTGTGTGTGCTTGGGATAGCATGAGGACGAGGACAGGCGACACGATGAGCACGAACAGGTATGGAAGCACGAGTCTCAGGCTCACGACGCTCAGTCAGGGACTCAGTCACCTCAGTGTGAGGAATAGGAGCAGGCAGCGGAGAGCCAGGCAGTAGCTGTGGCTGAGACTGGTGTGTCGGTGGACGCAAGAGAGGTGGAGTGAGGCCAATGGAAGACGGGAGACTAAGAACCTCGCGAAGGGCTGAGTCAGGCAGTGGAAGGGATGACTGCGGCTGCAGTTAGAAAAACGGTCGGCGTGGCACAGTACCCGTACCATCAGCAGCTCCGGTACCTCCAGTACCTCCAGCTCCAGCGCCTCCAGTACCAGCAGCACCTCCAGCATCAACAGCACCAACACCTCAAGTGCCAGCAGCTCCGGAAGCACCTCCACCACCAGCAGCACCATCAGCCCCGACAACTCTAGTACCTCTAGTATGAGCACCTCCAGGACCAGCAGCTCCAGCACCAAGAGCACCAACACCTCCAGTGCCAGCAGCTCCACTACCCCCAGTTTCTCCAGCTCCAACGCCTCCAGCACTAGAAGCACCAGTGCCAGCACCTCCAGTAGCACCTCCAGCACCACCAGCACCACCGGCTCCGATAGCTTCAGCAACTCTAGTACGAGCACCACCAGGACCAGCAGCTCCAGCAGCTCCAGCACCAGTAGTACCAACACCTCCAGTGCCAGCAGCTCCAGTACCCCCAGCACCTCCAGCAGCACCTCCAGCACCAGCAGCACCACCAGCTCCGGCAGATTCAGTACCTCTAGTACAAGCACCTCCAGGGAGGGGGTCTACCGGGGGGGGAACTGGTACCAGGAAGAGAGGCGCCAGGGGGACCGGGTGGGACGCGTGCGAGTGGAGCCTGTAGAAACAGACTGACTCGTCAAAGGTGACGTCCTGGGAAGAGAACACGCGACGCGAGAGAGGGTAATAAAACTGCCACGGCGGGGCGTCGGTGGGGAAGCCAAGGAAGGTGCAACGGAGAGTGCGAGGAGAGAAATTGCTCGCGGTGGTATCGCAAACAAAGGAGAGCGTGTCCCAGACCCAAAACGTCGACGCATCACCAACCTCTCCCGTCCAACGGAGTGTGGGCGAGGTCTCTAGCAAAGAGACACGAGGCCAGAGGTTGAGCTGGTGCGTGGCGTATCAGATCGCAAACGGCCACAGAAAATGGGGAGCAGCTGCATGGATGATGGAGGTGCGAGCAACCTCCATCACCAAGCCAATGCGGTGCTCTGCAATCCCATTTTGCTGTGGAGAGGGCGGAAGCGTGAACGTCTGGCAGATGCCCTCGTCTCGACAAAACTCTGCAAGGAGGCCAAAAGAGAACTCACCACCCCTGTCAGAATGCAGACGCAGGACTTGAAGGTCCCGCCGAAACCACTCGCGCAGCAAGAGACGATCAGCTCGGATCAAGGGGATCAAAACACCAGTGACGTCCGCCTTGCTGGCACAAGGGGAAGAATGTGGTGTAGCGCGAATAGTCGTCAACGACCAGCAGGAAGTAGCGCTCCTGGTTCGTCCCACTGACACAGGCTGGGCCCCACTTGTCCATGTGGAGAGTCTGCAGAGGAGTAGTGGTCGGAGGAAACTCGGAGGAGTGAGGAGCGGCGCGCTGCCGCCCCTCAACGCAGGGAAGGCACGGCGGGGCAGGCGAGCGTGGGAGGGGGGGCAGAGACCTGGGAAGGCCAGAGACAAGGAGACGGGAGTGCATGCTACGCAGACGCGGCAGAGAGGGGTGACCGAGTCGGTGGTGCCAGAGGAGAGTCTGGTGGGAAGGTACCTGATACGAGCAAGACGGTGCAACCTGACCAGACGTAGACACCTGACTCGACGCAGCCACCTGATGTGACGCAACCACTTGTGCAGACGCAGTGGTCAGGGTGTACTGATTGGACCCAGGATGCCGAGTGAATGTAGCAAGGTGACGTCCAGTTCGGGAGCACGCACATATCGCCACACGCTGTTTTTTAAGGATAAAGGTGTTAAGCCAAACATCCTGAAGGAATGCATTGCTCACCAAGTTCGTCGAGAACGAGGGGAGGTGGAGGCCTGAAAAAGAGCAAGAGGGGATTGCCGGACACGGGAGGACACTGGAGGCTCGCGCTACTACTGGGCCCCAAGTGGGGTCAGCCAGTGAGACTGGGACAGGTGCTGCGAGCGGTGTAACTGTGGTGCAATCACGAAAGAAGCAACGTGACGCTCCTGAGTCAAGTGTGAAAGTGTGCAAGGCCTCAGCTAAGGCACGACCAGTGGCGGTAGACGCACTAGCACCTAGCGCTGCAGCACACTCACTAGCACCTAGAGTGGAAGCAGACTCACTTGCACCTAGAGCTGCTACAGACTCACTGGCACCTGGAGCGGCAGCAGACTCACTAGCACATAGAGCAGCAACCTCTTTATACCCAGGGACGCCTCGCTAAGAAACACAGTCACGAAGCCGATGCGGGGAGAAGGTCTCCTGCTGACGCCGCTGCCGCTGCTGTCCAGGATATGTAAAACCAAAACCTCCACCACCAGCACGGACTCGCTAAACAACCCACTCACAAATCTGCTGTGGTGATAGAGTGTCCGGGTGAGGCAGTGGCTGCTGCTGTCCACCCCTAGACGCTGCTACGACCGTGAGAGTGGCCATGACTGGCAGTCGCAGTTAGTAGCAGCGGCGCAAGGGCGTGAGTAGCAACTGCTGTAGCTGCAGCTGTAGAAGTGGCGGTGGTCACTGTGGTTGTGGAGGCCAGTAGGGTGCGCGGGCCGCAGGGCAGGGCGGCGCGCTGGCCTAAAGGCAGGGCATCGCGGCTCGTGGGCTGTAGGGCAGAGCGCGCGGGCCTAAGAGTAGGGCAGCGCAGTGCGTGGGCTGTAGGGCAGGGCGGCGCGCAGGCCTAAGGGCAGGGCAGCGCGATGCACGGGCTGCAGGGCAGCTGGGCGCGGGCTGCGGCAGGGCGGCACTCGCTGGGCAGGGCAGCAGGGCGCAACGTGCAGGCTGCAGCAGGGCGCGACGTGCTGGCTGCAGGGCGCGACGCGCGGGCAGTAGCAGGGGAGCGCACTAGGGCAGGCAGCGTGCGTGGTAGCAGGGCAGCGCGACACTGTGCGAGCAGGGCACTTCAGCGCAAGGGCGCTTCGGGCAGGAACGGGCGGAACTATCGGTCGGCCCTAAAAGCTTAACAGGTTTCCTACTCTGAAACCATGTCAGGTTAATCTGTGCAGGAATGGTGAATGACTAGCAAGAGTGAGATACACATAGTAAACCCTAACTAGGGTTGTACTCTATACTGAGCACCTCACTGTAGCCTAGCAGAACTAGGAACATGCAAATATGTTTTAACAATCTGAGGCATCCGCTTATATCCGGGGGCTTAAGGTACACAATGTTGGTGAACAATACATTTGACCAATCCAAATGCAATGTAGCATCAGCAACGTGTGATTCCATACAGTCATATAATCTGGAAGCAAACTGCAAATATTATGACACATGCGTAAACATAAGGAAGCTTATCTACAAACATGGAAGCCTCTACCAGTAGCTTATGCATGTAGTCAATAACATCTTCCAGCAGAATGGCTGCCTGTTTGTGAAGACAAACCCTGCTTGTGCACAAGTATTCAGCTTGCGCGTAGAATCTCGAACCTTCAACCAAGGTTGTACATTTGTCTGTCAGCAGGTATGCTGCTTGGGATTTCTAACTGCGCAACAGCAGGTGTTGCAAATGCCCATGCATTCATGTTCCAAACTTCTTTCCCCTCCACTACAATTGTGGACCCTCGCTTTAAGAACCTTGTAGCTCAAGGCTTGGGATGTGATGGGCTGAGGCTCAGCGCGAGCATTATAAACTGTAGTTCTTGGAAATATGTGCCAAGATGAACTCAGCGACTGTACCGGTATTGGAGGTATGCGAAGAGCCAAGACGAATGCATTCTCTCAATGAACCCCACTGAAGCATCCAGGGGAGTGGCCACGTGCATGCGAATGGCTGCACAACTAAAGCCTGTTCCGAACTTGGTCCTTGAGAATTCAAGGTAATGTGCTCGAAACAGACGCGCCATTACGAGGCCCGCAGCTGCCTCTCCAGCTCCAGCTTGTACTCGCGCATTCCCTCAATGAACCCCACGGCAGCATCCAGAAGAGTGGCCATCTGGGTGCGACTGGCGCTGCAACTCAAGTGGGCTTCAGTCATCCTGCCCCTTTCAGACTTGGTCCTTGAGAACCCGATCCGACCAGACACCCTGTTACGAGGCTAGAAGCTGCCTCTCCAGCCCCAGCTTGCACTCCAGCATGCCCTCAGTTAACCCCACAGCAGCATCCAGAACAGTGGCTATCTGCACGCGACTGGCTTCTCAACTGAAGCCTGCTGCAGAGCAGTCAGACGCTTGTGCATAAGCGTTGAGCTTATGAGGTAGGTAGTTCTCTCCAAAGTACTGTCACGTGGCCAGCACCTGCCTCTGAAGAGCCAGCTTGTACACGCACATTCCCTCAATGAACCCCACAGCAGCATCCAGAAAAGAGTGCCTATGTGCGTGCAACTGCACTGTCAGCTGGTGGTGCCTGCTTAAGTTGTCCCGCCTCTTGAGGCGAGACTTGGTCCGTGGGAATAAAAGGCCAGCAGCTGCCTCTCCAGCGCCAGCTTGTATGCGCGCATTCCTTCAAAGAACCCCACGGCAGCATGCAGAAAAGAGTGGCGATCTGCGTGTGACTTTTGAGGCGCCTCGAAAGCCGTTATGAGGCCAACAGCTGCCTCTCCAGCTCCAGCTTGTATTCGCGCATTCCCTCAATAAAACCCACGGCAGCATCCAGAAGGGTGGCGATCTGAGTGCGATTGCTGAACCCCGTCCGGCCCTGCTGCCTCAGCAGCACCTCCGCTGGTATTGCTGCCTTGAGGGCTTCTAACCGCTCTCTGTGAGCCACACATGGGAAGAGGAACGGGAGGGAAGGAGAGGGGGCAAGGCACACATTAGGTTGGTTATTGAAGTTGACTTGAAAGTGGAATCACTGCCTTGAGGGCACCTAACCGCTCACTGTGAGACAGACATGGGCGGAGGAAGGGACGGGGCACAACAGTGTGAGCAATGTGTTTACACGCATGTGCCATCTGTCATGACCTGGTCAACCAGAGTCAACCATATTCAACTAGAGTCATCAAGAGTCAACACGAGGCTTCAAGTCAGCAAGAGTCAAGAAGCGTGAACATAACCGTGCCCTCAAGTCAGCAGGAGTCAACACACACATTGCACCGAACTCTCACCCAACTCACGTTATTCTGGACCGCCGCTGCTTCTCTGTGGCACTCTTCCCTGTGATCTGCCTCGCCCCTGCTCCTCCCACTGCCGCTGCAACAGCCCTTGCGCGTCCCACCCCTGCCCTTGGCGACTGGGACAACGGAGACGGGGTTGCAGAGGGCGACTTAAAGCCCGTGTTTCCTCCTGGCGTTGATTCCCGGGGTGCTGCTGAGGGCGACCGAAACGCTGCTGCTGCTGCCTGAATTTGTGGAGAATCTGGAGAGAACGGTTGCTGGGTGCACGGCAGGAGGCCAGAGGACTTGGGGGGAAAAGGCTTGTGCGCGTGTGCCTGGAAGGACCCTGGTTGCACTGCTGCTGGTTGCACTGATGGTTGCATTAGGGAGGTGCTGCTGCGGGGGTGCTGCTGCGGTTGCGACAGCCCTTGAGACGGTTCAAAACGCAGCTCTGAAGACACGGAGCGGTGCAGAGCGGTGCTGCCAGGTGATTGCGCTTGGAGTCGCCTGAAGAGACTGCTAATAGCTGCTTGCCTCTGCTGGTGTGCAAGGGACGAGGTTGGCATTGCAGGAGCAGCTGGAGCAGAGGCAGCGGCAGCAACAGCATCACCACCAACAGGTGCACCACCAGCACCAGCAGCAGCATCATCATCAATAGCAGCAGCGGCACGAGGAAAACTGTCCACGCACCCATCAAGTCCCACCCCACTCTCCCTCTTGAAGGGATGCGGCGGCTTCACGAGAGCTGCAGCAAGCTGGTCCAATGGGTGCTGTGGCAGGCACACGCCAGCACGTGTTGGGCTCACACCAGCACACGTTGGGCTCACACCAGCACACGTTGGGCTCACACCAGCACGTGTTGGGCTCACACCAGCACGTGTTGGGCTCACACCAGCACGTGTGGGCAACGTGTCAGGGTGGGTGGCGTCCAGGCCAGAGTGTGTGGGGCTCATGCTGAGACGTGTGCGGCACATGCCAGCGTCTCTTGGGAAGGCGGTTGCAGCAGCAGCAGCAGTTGCAGCAGGAGTGGCAGCAGCAGAAGTTGCAGCAGGAGTGGCAGCAGCAGCAGCAGCAGTCCAGGAGGAGGGCACTGCAGCATGTGTGCTTCTTGCCACGAAGGTTGCAGAGGTTGGGCCGGCCATAACAGCAGCAGGCACTGCTGCTGCTGCTGCTGCTGCTGATTCTGCACTCCATGGCGCTTCGTGCCTGGTTATACTGCTGCTAGAGAATACAGCAGCAGTTGCAGCAATAGCAGCAGTAGCAGCAGCAGCAGGAGGGGGAGGAGGAGCAGGAGGAGGAGCAGCAGCAGCAGTTGCAGCAAGAGGGAGGCCAGAGTCAGCGGCAGTAGGGTTACCACGTAACCTCTTCCTCACCTGAAGAGCCTCCATATCCGCAAGATCATGAATCTGGGCGGCTAACAGCCTTCGCTTCGTGCCAAAAGATGGCACAAAGCCGGATGGCACAAAGCCGGGACTGCAGCGAGCCCTCAGCGCTGTTGATGGGTGCAGGACCGGGGGAAGCGACGGCAGGGTGAAGGTGCGACAAGCAGGGGGAGGAAGGGAGGTGTTGAGTGGCGAAGGAAGGGGCGAAAGGGAACTGCCGCAGGTCTCATTCGAGATTTGAACCAGCAGGGGGGTGGTTGGAGATAGCTGCCCCAGAGCACCATACCCATCCTGCAGGAGCGCTGCAGAGGGTTTTTGAGGCGCCTCAAAAAGCGCTGCAGAGGGTGCTGTCTCTGCAGCCGAACTCTCTCTCTCCTTCACTCTCTGTTGCCGCGCTGCCTGCCCCGCGATTAAAGCCGGCTCGGTGTCACCCAGCCCTTGCCGCTGCGCCATGGCGGTCAAAGCGGAGCCACCCAGTGGCAGTCCGGGGTGCGCCGCGGTTAACGCAGGCTCCAAGTCACTCGGAAATTGCTGCGCGGCGATCAAAGAAGAGTCACCCAGTGGCAATCCAGGGTGCTCGGCGCGCTGCAGAGCTGCTTGGATGAGGCTCAGCTCGTTCCGGCTGATGCTGCTCCAATCCGCTGCCAGCGCGCTGCTGCCTTGCAGCTCCCCCTTTTGAAGCATGTCGAAGCATGATGCTGGTTTCCCCGTTTGAGGCGCGTTGGGGAATCCTGGTTCTCCCGTTTGAAACCGAAGCGCCGCGTTGACTGAGTCCATGAGGAGAATGAATGGCAAAAGCTTCGGACGAACTGTCGTTGTCGTAGCCGCAGGAACGGAAAAAGCGTGTCGCCGCGACAGAGCACTTTCCGGAGTCGTACTTGGAGAATCTGGAACCGACGTCGCTGGGGTGAAAAATCTGTCTCAAACAATCACGCATCAGCTCAGTCACTAGTACTAAAATCGCGACACAGTTCACCAAAGCACAATTTGTCGTGACGACACGGTCCAGATAATACTAATAATGAATCCGCTGCGAGGCTGATAGATAGGAAGGACTGCTCCTGTACTACTCTACAAAATTCACAACGCCACATACCATGCCCAAATCTCGGTTTTCCCCATCTTTGCACACTAACCTTTGCACGAGCAATGACTAGGGTTACGTGAAACAGTGTTTAGGAGGGTAAGCAGTGCTGAACCTTTGCTGTAGGATAGGTGAACAATGTCTCCCCTTCCCCATTGTCTCTACAGCCGCTAGTAGTTCGCTTCCAAACCGTCCCACACGTGCCAACTTGTGCTAGTACATCGAATATACTTCGGTTGTGTTGGGTGTACAGTGGTGCCAAGCTTGCATGAATCTGGCATTTGAACTTGCATCGACGGAGGTTTAGTGGTGTTATAACCGAACAAACTATAGCGACACTTGAATCAGATAAGGTTTTGCTGACGCGTCAGAAAACTGCGTCGCGTCTGAAGGTGCGGTGTCACATTCAGATGTGACAGCGCGGGTGTGGTTTAGGTCGACCTAATCTAATGTTAGCCCGCCACGTCACCGAAAGCGCGATGTCGTGAATGCACCATGAACTGTAACAGCCGTACCGTACTACCACTGTGTAGTGCCAGATGGAGGGATTATTGTCGGGTTCGGTACGAGAGACAGAGATGGAAAGAAGATCGCGTTGTACACGTACGTGTTCACTTCACTAACGAGATGTTGTCGAGATCCCGCCTCACCTGTACCCATCATGCGCGCATTTCCTGAGCAGTAGCCATATCCACACTACTGCGCTGCGCGTGCGCGGGAGACGCAATAAGTGAGACAAGCGTATCTGACAGAGATACCAAGGCCAGTGGCAGTAGCAGTGCAGACTGTCCTTCGCAGGAGCGAACAGCCAGAAGGGCCAACATCCTCCTAGGTTTGCGAAGTCACCTCTGACCTGTACCCACATGGGACTTCGGACGAAATCGGCATTACTTGTTCAACTCGCCGCCGAAACAAAAACTGTAAGAAAATGACAACGTTGGGGCAATTCGTCCCGTCCGACACCCGCGCCCACTCCCAGCTGATGTCGCAAACGAGCTCACGTCACTCGCCAACTGGATAGTCCTAAACGAGAATTCTACCGCCGTCACTTCGCCAGATGGAAAGCTCCTGGAAAGAGGCATGCCAGAAAAATACCTAGGTGAACGGGTGAGTCCTGGGCGGACGAGTCAAAATTAGGGAAGTACTGTACCTGAGCAATCAAGATATGACATTCATAAGAGAAGGTAAACATGATTGCGAGAGGGCCACGGCAATTGAAGCAAGCTCACAGGGATGAACTCCCAACGTAGATATTGATCTTACACCTAGTCCGCGGTATTTTAACCGGCGCTATCTTAACCACGCGAGGGTACTTCTCCTTTATCAAACTTATTTAGTCGGGTTGTTTCAAACTTTACGAGGGTAGAATCTAGCATTCCCTTCGCGAGATGACAGCAGAAAAAACTCAGTGAATGCCGAGTGTGACAAATGTCAATCCGTCTATCTTGGAGCACTAAGTGTGAGTTCCTTAGACGGAAGTGCTTTCGGCTACAGAATCGTAGCCTCGATGACTCTGGGTGCTAAAAACACTACCCAGAAACGAACAAAGAGGGTTTGAATGAACAAAGTTCACCTGGTTAAAATACCGCGGACTATGTGTACTAAGTTGGGAAGGAAGTATCGCCACCACCCTCAAGTGAACCAGGCGCGAGAAGAAGACGGCTGCCATTGATTCGATGATTAAATTGGTCCCGTTGCAAAAATGCACGATTGGTTGTCCAATGCTAGTGTGCAAATACTGATTCAGCTCGAGGATTTTGCAAAAACAGAGATGCAGAACAACGAATCCTCTTGAAACCTGCTTTTGAAGCACTGGAAGCGACCCCGCTTGGGGATTTTTTACTTTTGGTACCGTTGATTGCTGGCAATCTGAAATTCGATTGGATTCCTCAACGGTTCTTACGATATGTGGTTACTTGATCCGATTTGCCACAATACTTTGATATGCTGTAACACTCGCTTTGTTCCATGCAAATCACAGCCAACAACAGATTCAAATAACATGTTCCCCATTCATGTACATTACTCGTCTTCATCCTTAATATGGTTGCTGGTTACATACCCCCGCCTGCTGTCTCAAAAAATCATTCACACCATGTGTCTCGCCATAGTGTGTCTGAAAAAGAAAGGGAATGGAGAAAGAAAGGGAGAAGGAAAATGAAACTCCCAAAAAGAACCCAAATGCAACACACATAAACCCCCCCCTCAAGTTACCCAATCAAAACGCCCAGTCAAGACACCCCATCAAGACATCCCATCCCCCCCCCCCCCCCTCAATCACATCAACGTATCGACCATGTACGGGGCCTCCACCCAGAGAGCCTTGCCTTCCACATCGACATCGTCCCTCTCCCGATCCGCCAAATCTACGTTAATCCCCCCCATGGAAGACGCCGCTTGAAGCAGGATGACACGGGCTTGCGCACGTTGTAACGCCACCCCGATGAGCGCCTTCAGTGACCCTAAAAGATAAGCCGAAAACACAGAGTCGTCCTCTCGACAAGCCCCCCGCGACACAGCTAGCCCCACGTGCGCATCCCCCTGCTGACGAAGCCACCGCTGAAAACGACCGCCGAGACACCCCCACGTCTCAACTATCAAAGGGGTGAACTGCACGCCCCGGTTGCGTGCAAGCAGAGGCGCGTAATCACTCGTTTTGCGACGCTCCCATTCCCTTGCCGCCACACCTATTTGACGCCCGCACTGTCCCAGCAGTGATGGAGACAGCGATAGCGGGTCCGCGACGCTGATCTCTAGGGCGTGAGCCTCTCCAGCCATTGGACGTCGCATCGCCACATCAACCCGCTTCCCTTGCAGCACCACACTATCCTCCAATGTCACCACCCCCCCCGACGCCTTAGAGATCTTCGCCACCGCAAACTTCACCTCATCATGCACCCGAGAAGGACCATGCTGGTGCCTGCATCTCAGGGCATGGTGCGGGTCTGCTGGGTCAACATACGCTGTGCGACAAACACACCTCCCCGCCACCTGCAGCTGCTGAGTTGGGAGGCCGAGCCGTATAGCAGCAGCAATGCCCCACTCAGCCGCAGTGAATGTGAGATCTGAGTGAGCCGGAACCGCCGAAACCCATGCACCTGCCCCCGGGCCCTGAAGGGATGTGAAACGGGCCAAGGTAGCATCGTCACGAGCCAAGCGGCGCAGTGGGTGGAGCTCCTCTACAGCTAACTGCCGTTGACGCGCCTGGAAAAGCCGAACAGGAGGGGCCGCTACACACAGAGGTAAGCCCGGTATCTCGTGGCGGATAGTCGCTGGCAGCTGCTCGAGAGCCTTGACAAACCACGGGTCAAGAAACTCTGCCCCTATCGAAGTGGTGAGGTACTCAGCAAACATCGCCTCCTCACCCGCCACCCCTAACTGTGCAATGTCCCGCGCGGCCTGCGCCCACCCGCAAACATAGGACAGTGGGCTCAAAGAGGCCGCCGCCCGGATCCCGAACCCACCGAGACGCACAGGGAGATGCAGCTGCATGCGTGCGCGCCTAGACCGGTCGGGGTCCTGCTCCCAAGTGCCAGGTGGGAAAAGCTGCTCAAAGCAATCCTCTAAACAGCTGTCCCAATCCCTAAAAGCCTCAACCACCTCCGGACGCGGCGGCATAGTCCGGGCGAGGTACATCGGCCGCGCTGAAACTGCAATGGCGAGGAGGTGTGAAGCCATCTGGGGGTGGTCGAGCAAGGGGAGCCATGGCAGTGGCGCCTGCAACTATCGAAGCCGCTCCCGTAGCCGGACCACCTCCCAAACCTCCTCTCCAATAGGCACGCCCACCAAAATAAGACCCTCATCCACCTGCTGCATCCCCAATGGCAGTGCCCGCTCCACCTCCTTGCCCTCGCGCTCCCAAAACCGGCACTTGTGCGCCTGCACCTCCAGCCCTACCCACTCCAACCGCTCCCGCAGCACCCCAAAAGCCTCTAGAATCCTAGCCGCTGGCCCCAAAATATAGGTATCGTCTGCATAGCTGAGGAAAAGTAGGTCCTTGAACTCCCTAGTAACCGGCTCCATCACCTGCTGCTGCGTGAACGCGAAAAGAAAAGGGCCGAGCGGGTCCCCTTGCCTCGATCCCCGTGCTGACTCGAGGCTCTGTACGAAAGGGCCCGCTCGGAGGTACAGGTCGCTAGGTGTCCCATAAAAGACACGCAAGAATGGGATCATCCCTGAGAAAGGCGACTCCCGCAGCCCATCGAACATCACATGACGGTGAAACGAATTGAAGGCGTTTGCGACGTCTATCTGTAGCGCACACCCGTCGGGGTGAGTGGCCAGCGCTGACCGGAAAGAATGAGTGAGAATTTCCGCCCCGACCCTGGTGCCCGCTCCCAGCTGGTTGCACGGCAGGAAGTAGGAAACCATCGCAGGGCGGAGCGAGATGCAGAGAGCTCGAGCAAGGATACGAGGAAGCACCTCCCCGATCGCCACCGGCCGGACGTCGCCGTTAGGCTTGGAAAGCCCGACTAGGTTGGATGCGGCGAGCCACGGCCGAGCCCGCTCGGGGACCTGTCCCGCCACCCATTGGTTGAACACTTCCAACAGGTGGGAGAGGCAGGTAGGTTCAGTGAGGAAGGTGTCGCGCAGATGCTCTGTGACCCACCCTGATGGCCCTGCTGCTGAGGCTCGAGCGGCTGTATGGATAGCTCTGGCCAGGATGTCGGTCGTGAGTGAAGGCCGCTGAGCGGTATCGATGGTGAAATTGCGGACCCACTGTGGTACCTCGCCTGCGCTAGCCGGGTGCTTCTCTCGCAGCGACTGCACCATGACCTCAGACGGTCGAGCCAACTCCCCTGCTGTAAGGCAGGCCAATCCTCGGCTCCACTCCCCCACTTTGCACCGAGATCGGCACCGTGACAGGCGGATGGCATCCGGGTCATGGACAGAGCGAGTGTAGGAAAGTGGGCGAATTGCTGGCCGCGCTGCCGCCATGGCAAAGTCGAACAGCTCCCGCCACCTCCCCTCCCAGAAAGCACCCAACCGCTCTGTGATCAGCGCCTTCTGACCTATGCCTGGCTTGGGAGGCATGGCTAGGATGAGGCGCGGAAACGCCAAGAGTAGGAGGGTAGCGGCTTCATCTCCCGGCTGACTCTTCAAGCGCTTAAGGATGCAACAGAGCGCGTCTAAGACCCCCGACCTGGCCCGCTGTGGGATCCGGCGAACTGTCCTCCCTCTAACCGCCTCCACACTGAAAAATGTTTCCCATTCCCATGACATAACCCCAGCCCACGCCTCGTCCCCGAATTCCCCCGGCGTCGATCACTCCTGCGTGTCGGTCTCCACCAGAGACGGAATCGAGCCGAGAGCCTGTGCACGCCTCTCCGCCTCAGCCGCTCGGCATACCCTCAGGTGGTTCGCAGCGGCCCCCCGCGTAGCGAAAGTGTGGAAACACGTGTCGCACGGGAAGCGGGGGCATGGGGAAGGCGGCATGGGAGGTTCTTCGTCCGCCTCTGACTCCTCCGTAGTCGCCATGGGGGTATCAAGCTCCAGAAGTCGACACCACTCCTCCAACTGTTGCTCCTGGTCGTCCATCGATCTCCCCCCTGCTTGCTGCGCTCCTTGGGGTGCCCAGGGCACCCTCGGCTGCCCCCCTGGCTGCTGCGCTCCCTGGGGTGCCCCGGTCACCCCCGGCTGCCCCCCTGCCTGCTGCTCTCCCTGGGGTGCTCTGGGCACCCTCGGCTGCCCTCCTGCCTGCTGCACTCCCTGGGGTTCCCCAGGCACCATCGGCTGCCCTCCTGCCAGCTGCACTCCCTGGGGTGCTCCGGTCACCCCCGGCTGCTCCCCTGCCTGCTGCTCGCCCTGGGGTGCTCGGGTCACCCCCGGCTGCCCCCCTAGCTGCTGCTCCCCCTGGGGTGCTCCGGTCACCCCCGGCTGCCCCCCAGCCTGCTGCTCTCCCTGGGGTGCTCCAGGCATCCTCGGTTGCCCTCCTACCTGCTGCACTCCCTGGGGTGCCCCGGGCACCCTCAGCTGCCCTCCTGCCTGCTGCACTCCCTGGGGTGCCCCGGGCACCCTCGGCTGCCCTCCTGCCTGCTGCACTCCCTGGGATGCCCCGGGCACCCCCGGCTGCCCTCCTGCCTGCTGCACTCCCTGGGGTGCTCCGGGCACCCCTGGCTCCCCACCTGCCCGCTGCACTCCCTGGGGTGCCCCGGGCACCCTCGGCTGCCCTCCTGCCTGCTGCACTCCCTGGGGTGCTCCGGGCACCCCCGGCTGCCCCCCTGCCTGCTGCACCCCCTGGGGTGCCCCGGGCACCCCCGGTTGCCCCCCTGCCTGCTGCACTCCCTGGGGTGCCCTGGGCACCCCCGGCTGCCCTCCTGCCTGCTGCACACCCTGGGGTGCCCCGGGCACCCTCGGCTGCCCTCCTGCCTGCTGCACTCCCTGGGGTGCCCCAGGCACCCTCGGCTGCCCTCCTGCCTGCTGCACTCCCTGGGGTGCCCCGGGCACCCCCGGCTGCCCCCCTGCCTGCTGCACTCCCTGGGGTGCCCCGGGCACCCCCGGCTGCCCCCCTGCCTGCTGCACTCCCTGGGGTGCCCCGGGCACCCCCGGCTGCCCTCCTGCCTGCTGCGTTCCCTGGGGTGCCCCGGGCACCCTCGGCTGCCCTCCTGCCTGCTGCACTCCCTGGGGTGCCCCGGGCACCCCCAGCTGCCCCCCTGCCTGCTGCACTCCCTGGGGTGCCCCGGGCACCCTCGGCTGCCCTCCTGCCTGCTGCACTCCCTGGGGTGCCCCGGGCACCCCCTGCTGCCCTCCTGCCTGCTGCACTCCCTGGGGTGCCCCGGGCACCCTCGGCTGCCCTCCTGCCTGCTGCACTCCCTGGGGTGCCCCGGGCACCCCCTGCTGCCCTCCTGCCTGCTGCACTCCCTGGGGTGCCCCGGGCACCCTCGGCTGCCCTCCTGCCTGCTGTACTCCCTGGGGTGCCCTGGGCACCCTCGGCTGCCCTCCTGCCTGCTGCGCTCCCTGGGGTGCCCCGGGCACCCTCAGCTGCCCTCCTGCCTGCTGCACTCTCTGGGGAGCCCCGGGCACCCCCGGCTGCCCCCCTGCCTGCTGCACTCCCTGGGGTGCCCCGGGCACCCTCGGCTGCCCCCCTGCCTGCTGCCCTCCCTGGGGTGCTCCGGGTACCCTCGGCTGCCCTCCTGCCTGCTGCACTCCATGGGGTGCCCCGGGCACCCCCTGCTGCCCTCCTGCCTGCTGCACTCCCTGGGGTGCCCCGGGCAACCTCGGCTGCCCTCCTGCCTGCTGCACTCCCTGGGGTGCCCTGGGCACCCTCGGCTGCCCTCCTGCCTGCTGCGCTCCCTGGGGTGCCCCGGGCACCCTCAGCTGCCCTCCTGCCTGCTGCACTCCCTGGGGAGCCCCGGGCACCCCCGGCTGCCCCCCTGCCTGCTGCACTCCCTGGGGTGCCCCGGGCACCCCCGGCTGCCCCCCTGCCTGCTGCACTCCCTGGGGTGCTCCGGGCACCCTCGGCTGCCCCCCTGCCTGCAGCACTCCCTGGGGTGCCCCGGGCACCCCCGGCTGCCCCCCTGCCTGCTGCACTCCCTGGGGTGCCCCGGGCACCCCCGGCTGCCCCCCTGGCTGCTGCTCTCCTTGGGGCGCCCCGGGCACCCAGGGCTGCCCCCCCACCCGCGGAGCTCCCGGGGGTGTCTCGGTCGCCCCGGGCTGCCCCTCCGCCTGCTGGGCGGCAGCTCCGCTTCCAGTTCGGCCTTGCGTCTTACGGGTGTGTCGTCGCCCGCCTCGGCCCCGTGCCCGGGTTCTCTTCGCTTGGCTTGTAGAGTCCGCACTAGCGACCTCCAGCTGCCCCCGCGCCGGCAGCTCCCGCCGCTCCCCCTCCGACAGCTCCTGCTGCCCTCCCCCCGACAGCCCCAGCTGCCCTCCTGTTGGCAGCTCCTGCCGCTCCTCCCCCGGCAGCTCCTGCTGCCCTCCTGCCTGCAGCCGGACCTGGTTCCCTGATTGGTCCTGCTGCACCTCTGGCAGTAGCTCGGCCATCTCCACATCCACCGCTTGCTGCTCCCTTGCCGGCAGCTGCCCCACCCCCGGCGGCTTCTGCTGCTCTTCCCTTCGTAGCTCAAGCTGCTCTCCCCCGGGCGGCCCCTGCTGCCCTCCTGCCTGTGGCCAGGCCTGGTTTCCCAATTGGTCCTGCTGTGACTCTGGCTGTAGCTCGGCCATCTCCACTTCTACCGCTTGCTGATCCCTTGCTTGCTGCTCCCTTGCTTGCTGCTCCCTTGCCGGCAGCTCCTGCTGCTCTTCCCTTGGCAGCTCACGCTGCTCTCCCCCGGGCGGCTCCTGCTGCCCTCCTGCGTGTGGCCGGGCCCGGTTCCCCGAGTGGTCCTGCTGCACCTCTGGCTGTAGCTCGGCCATCTCCGCTTCTACCATTTGCTGCCCCCCAGCCGACAGCTCCTGCTGCCCTCTCGCCGGCACCTCCTGCTGCCCTCTCGCCGGCACCTCTTGCTGCCCTCTCGCCGGCGCCTCCTGCTGCCCTCCCGCTGGCACCTCCTGCTGCCCTCCCGCTGGCACCTCCTGCTGCCCTCCCGCTGGCACCTCCCGCTGCCCTCCTGCCTGCAGCTCCTGCTGCCCCCCCCGCCATCAGCTCCAGCTGCCCTCCCGCCGGCTGCTCCTGCTGCTCTCCCTTCGGCAGTACCTGCTGCTCGCCTGCCGACCGCGCCTGCCGCCCTCTTGCCTGCGGCTCTTGCTGCCCTCTCGCCGGCAGCTCCTGCTCCCCTCTCGCCGGCAGCTCCTGCTCCCCTCTCGCCAGCAGCTGCTGCTCCCCTCTCGCCGGCAGCTCCTGCTGCCGTCCCGCCGGCCGCACTTGCTGCTCCCTTGCTTGTGGCTTCTGGGCCTCCCCCAACAGCCAGTTCTGCTGCCCCCCCTCCTGCCTCGAGGGCTGGGTCCCCGCTGGACTCCATTGCTGCACTTCCGCCCGAGCTCTCCGTCTCTGTTCCTGCCTTTGGGCCAGGCGAGGCCCGCGCGGAGCTGTGAGGGCTGGGCGTGCCAAAGGATTTCCCAGGGCCCTCCGCTGCCTATCATGAGACTCCTGCAGTCGCCGGCGGTGTGCCTCCCATGCAGCCATCGCCGCGTCATCACCGGTACCTTGCCTATGCACCCCATGACCGCACTCGCCCTCGTCCGTCACGTCCAGGTCCCGGCTGGAGATGGTGTCGCTGCCGCCTACGAAGCCGCCGAGAGTGTCTTTGGGTGGCTCCTCTATCCCCCCCCCTGTCGAGAGGGGTCCATACCTTTGTCGCTTGCTGGGCTTGCCAAAAAGGCAGAGTGCATCCTCGTGGTGGAGGCGACAGAGTTGTGGGTATTGCATACTCGGTGCTGCCTCCCTGGGTCTCTTGTGGCCAATCCTCGCGATGATCTTCCTCCCCCGGTCTGGGGGGTCTAGATCGTTGTTCATGGCGGAAGCTGTTTGCGGGGAGCGCTGGAGGGGCGCCTCCCGCCCTCGATATAAGGTTCGCAGTCCGGGTGAGTCGAAGGTGTTGGGCGTCGCTGGCGCACGGAGACTCCCCTATACGATGGACGCTCCTACCTGCAGGTGTTGGTACCTAGGCGCGGGTCTCGCTTTGTGGCCCTCCCTACACGCGGTAGTCGCTGCCTAGGCACGAGCTTCGCTGCGATGGCGCTCCTACGCGCGAGTATAGCTGCCTGGGCGCTGATCCCTCCGCCGCGACGCAGATTTCGTTGCTACGGCGCGGGTTTCACTGTTACATGGCGGACTTCGCTGCTCTTTGCCCGGACTTCGCTGCTACGGCGTGCACTTCGCTGCTACGGCGCGCACTTCGCTGCTACGGCGTGCACTTCGTTACTACGGCGCGCACTTCGCTGCTACGGCACGCACTTCGCTGCTACGGCGCGGATTTCGCTGCTACGGCGCGGGTTTCACTGCCGAGGCACTGGATTGCGCTGCTACGGCGCGCAATTCGCCGCTACGGCGCGCAATTCGCTGCTACGGCGCGCACTTTGCTGCTACAGCGCGCACTTCGACGCTACGGCGCGGGCTTCGCTGCTACGGCGCGGATTTTGCTGATACGGCGCAGATTTCGCTGCTACGGCGCAGATGTCGCTGCTACAGCGCGGGTTTTGCTGCCTAGGTGTGGATGTCGCTGCTACAACGGGGATTTCGCTGCCACGGCGCGAATTTCGCTGCTACGGCGTGGATTTTGCTGCTACGGCGCGATTTTCGCTGCTGCGATGCGGATTTCGCTGTTACAGCGCGGGTTCCACTGCCTACCTGCGCGCTGCTACCTGCAGTTCGCGGGCTAAGCGGCTAAATCACCGGTTGGTCAGCAAGATCGCTGCTTTGCAGCTAGGTCACGGGCGGGGCGGCTAAATCGCTGGCTAAGCGGCTAAGATGCGGGCTAGGCGGCTAGATCGAGGCGAAGGCGGCTAGATCGCGGGCTGGGCGGCTAGATCGCGGGCTGGGCGGCTAAATCGCGGGCTAGGCGGCTAGATCGCGGCCTGGGCGGCTGAATTGCGGGCTAAGAGGCTGAGTCGCGGGCTACGTGGCGGGATCGCGCTGCTACTAGCGATGAAAGAGCTGCTGCCTAGCGGGAGTCAGGCTGCTGCCTAGCGGGAATCGCGCTGCTGCCTAGGTAGCGGGAATCGCGCTGCTGCCTAGCGGGAATCGCGCTGCTGCCTAGCGGGAATCGCGCTGCTGCCTAACAGCTAGTCGTTTTGGTTGTGTTGACTTCACCTCTCCGTCCAGCCAGCGCATTTGACGGCAACAGCTACCTTCTTTCATTAGGGACGTGTTCAGCTCTCACGTTCACACTTCTTTGGGTTTGCCACAATACTTTGATATGCTGTAACACTCGCTTTGTTCCATGCAAATCACAGCCAACAACACATTCAAATAACATGTTCCCCATTCATGGTGACCACCTAGGCCCACTAGTCCCAGAAGTAAGGCGTATGACTGTAAATTTACATATACACACACACGTACTCTATATATTTATTAAAAAGGAACCTTAACCACTCTAATTGCTTATTATGCCAAATTAGAAAGCCACAATGATTATGATCTTGACATGTTTTACGAATAGTAAAGTGAGAAGCCGCACTGTGCATTTTACCTGTAGTAGCAAGAATAACGAACAGAGAAGAGTGTACGAAGGCGAAAGGTCGAAGGGACGCGAACAGTTGGAAAGCATATGAACCGTTGAAGCATACAACATCGAGCAGCTGCAGGAGCGAGGAAAAAGGCGGGAACAGTTTCAACTGTACGCGCCGCACGGTTGGGTCTGAATTTGAATAAGGAAATGTACCCCTTAGAGTATATGGCTAGCTAGGACGTTTGGTATTCCCCTTGTACTCATTATACAAATGTATTTGCATGTGTTATTCATCTCTGACATTTTATATTCACTCTAAACTGAGGTCAAGGGCTCACCACTACGACACACTCTGTGCGAACCTTCCTGATGTGATCCTGGTTACGATATACGTTATGGTCGCAGCAACATGTATCACGTACCTGGTCAGGTGTCGGGTTGACGTAAGCGACATCGGTTTCCATCATACGCCTTCCCACAGACAGGGCATTACCTCTCCTTCACCAGAAAAGTGTAGAACATGAAGATAATGAGCAATAACCAGGAAAAGTACATAAAATTTAACTCCAAATATCACACGATAGAATCACTTAAACGTGTGCTCTTTGTGCTGAAAAAGAAAGCTAGGAAGGGACGCATGGCAGAGAAACCCCACATGGTGCTTATAAACGTGGTAATGAAACCCCACCTGTGCAAGTGCTCGTGACATGTGGCAATGAAACCCCACCTCTGCCAGCGCTAATAACACATGACACCCCACCTGAGCCAGTGCTCGTGTGCTGAAAGCATGTCCGCAGAGTCGGAGGCAAGAGAAGCTGTGCCATGGAGAGATGGTGGGATGGGAGGGACGGTGGGAGTTGGAACAGGATGGGATAAGACGAGAGGTGGAGTTGTGGCAAAGCCATCAGCAGCCCCATATAGAATGCATATGCAGCAGGTCCTATGGAATTGTGAAACGTAATATATGGTAGCACTCCCATCTGCCCTACTGCTCCACTGCCCCATACGCTCCCCTCTTCCATGCGCCCCATATACCTATGCGCCCCCCCTTCCCAATGCGGCCCCCTCCCCCATGCGCCCACTGCCCCATGCGCCCACTACCCCCATGCGCCCCCCTCCACCATGCGCCCCACTGCCCCATACGCCCCACTGCCCCATACGCCTCACTGCCCCATGCGTTGACTGCCTTCATGCGTGAGACTCACGGCAAGCTAGAGCAGATAGAGGCGTCTGAAAGCGCGCAAACCCAGTGCGACACATCTCTGTTGCTTCCACTGCTCCTGCTCCTGCTACTGCAGCAGCACGCGCCATCAGTGCGCCAGCAGCAGTAGTAGAAGTAGCAACACCAGCAGTAGTGGCAGCAGCAGCAGAAGCAGCAAGGTTGGTATTGGCCCCACACCTGCTGCTATCATCATTGGTCGCATTCTCACCCTCACAATTGTTACCCCCACCATTGTCACCCCTACTAAGGGGAAGCGCACTGTGACAATGTCCTGGGGGTAGTGGCGAGGGGAGGGGGGATAAGGAAGTTGCATAGTGACAATGTCATGGGGGGAGTGGCGAGGGGAGGGGAGTGGGCTTCGCGCTTGCATTGCAAGGTCCCTTGCATGCACCCCAGCTCCCCTCTTCCCCTGCTCTCTCACTCCCCCACTCCCACATTCCCCACTCCCCCCTGCTCCGCTACCCCCTGCTCCCTTGCTCCCCTTCTCCCATGCCCCCTCTGTTGCTCTGCCCCTGTGGTCCCTTGCTCTCACCTTAGTGGATAGGATGTGTGCAAATTGGTGCAGTTGGTCCTTTAGCCTGGTGAAGCGCAACTTGGGGAGATTGGGGCAATAGGGGAGATGGAGTGGGAGGGAGTTCGGTGGAGGAGGGATTGAGAGGGGGGATGGTGAAGGGAGAATGGGCGGATGTGTGCAAAGCGGTACAGTTGGTCTACAGAGATTCACTCTACAATGGTGGGAGCTAGGTTACGGGGTAGGCACAGGTTGCGGGTGTGATCGTAGCATTTGTGTGTTCTCTCTACTTGCGCGTTCACAACGAAAATTGGCAAGAGTTGTACCAGCAAGAGTTCACAACAATGATGCAAGAAAAGATAGACAACAATGACTACATCTGGGGGCCTACCAACCTTGCAGATAGGCAGGTCAGCCCCCAGCACAACAAATCGTCATCTTGCTAGCGCAGTTCGATGGCGGCTTTCTAGCACTGCAAGTCGGCGACCTGCCAGCACTGCAACAAAGTGGCTTTCCAACGCTGCAGCAAGGCGGCTTTCTAGCGTTGCAAATGCGTGCGGCCATAGCGCATGTGCGCATCCACTTCGCAGGTGCTAGTGGACAGTCGAGCATGTTGTGCACCGTGACAAAAAATCCGCAAGTGCCAAGTCGACCACGTGCTGACAGTTGTGCCAGATGTGTCACGCCGACCTCGTGCCCACGTAACGTTGTTACATAGGTCGGCTTCGCCAAAACCACCTGGACGACCTTCATGCACCCCTACAGAACTTCTTCGGCCAGGTTACAAGTTCGACAAGAGGAGGCCGTCGAGGTCCACAAGTCGTCGGCCCCCAAGTTGGCGTCATGTTGACGAACACCTTCGTCAGCGCCGACTTCACCTAGTCGACCAGCGTTTTGGCTAGCTTTGCCTAAGTTGGCTCCGATGTAGCCAACTTTCTCCAAGTCAGCTAACCGTCAAAGTCGGCTAACTACGCCGACGTGATCTTCCAAGTCCGCGAACCAAGCTGACTTGGCCGATTACAAAGTCGGCTCCGCCGATCCCACCAAGTCGGCATCGCAGATGCCGACTTCACCGAAGTCGGCTAAACCGTAGGTCAACAAACACTTCGTTGACGACGCTGAAGCTGTCCGTGGACTTCGCCAAGTCGGCCTCCCAAGGTCGGCACCCTCCCATGTCGAGGAGTCCCTTTGTCGACCACCAAGTTGAAGTCGGCCGCCTGCTTCTCGTTGACGGCGGCTTTGCACTGGCCCTGTGCATGTCGACCAACTTTGTCGATGTGCTCACCTATGTCAACGTCACCCAGTGTAGACGGTCGGCTGCACCTCCCGCACACCCGGCCACAAAGTCGGCTCCGCCCCTTAACATGGTCCTTGAGCCTGATAAAGCACCACTGAGGGGGATTGGGAGATGGTCGTAATGAGGGTTGGAGAAAGAGAGGTTGGGTAGCACGCTCCCACTATTGTAGCACACTCCGACGGGTGTAGCAGGGGGGATGGGATGCGAATCTGGGTGGATGGCAGAAGAGACAAGGAGAAACACAGATTATAGGGAGTTATAGGCACTTAGCTGTAGCAGCAGCTTTTAGCAGCAGCTGTCGCACATTCGATGTCAGACACTGGCAACTCTGCTAAGAAATCAGGGGACTTTTGAGTCGACTCAAAAGTCGCAGGTTTGATATGAGACACTGAAAACTCTGCTACGAAATCTGCGAAAGGAAGTGAATAGTGATGCACTTGAAATTAGCACACCACTTGACTCGCCTTCCCTCCACGTTTCACAAGAGCCAAATTTCTACCCGCGTTCCCAAACACATATTTTTTTCCAACTAATAGTCCTCTCCTCTCGACCTCCTCCCTCTCGTTCCCTCCTCCTCTTTCCTACCACTACCCTTTACTCTCCCCCATCCCCCTTCCTGCTTTTCTGCCCTTTGCCTCTTCCCCATTTCCCCACATTTCCCCTCCCTCTTCCCCCCTTTCCCCATCACAGTCGTCCGAGCTGGCACACCACGATCGGCTCCCTCACTGCCTACTCCGTCAGTGCGCACGCGCTCCATGCGGCGTCGTACTGCTCACGCGCTCCTCTTTGCCAGCAGGTCCCCAGTGGAGAGGTGCCCCCCGCGCGTCGATCGCACGAAGTCTCTGTTTGCACCGACGCCTGGTAATGGCATAAGAGGGGGAGCGCATGTGCATCCAAAGGAGATGCGGAGGACAGGGCGGTGGGGCGCGAGGGGGAGTGCAGGGCGACGGAAGCAGGGTAAGCCAGGGGGGGGATGAAGGTAGGGGGAGGAGAAGCGTGGAGCGAACGAGAGGGAGCGCGAGAAACAATGGAGCCTGAGGGGTAAATGGAAAAGGACGGTGCATAAGGTATAGCCTGTAGACAGGTAAATATGTGGTGAATGGAACAGCAACGCTAACGATGACGTAACGGTAATGGCGACAGTGACGGAGACGGTAATGGTGACGGTAACGGTGCAGTAGCGACCTAGAAGCGAGGCGCAACGATTCTCCTCGATTAACATCAGTGCGCAAAATTATGGTTCCCCCATCCACACCCATGGCACTACGACAGGAGTGGAACCACGTAACAGATGCCTACTGCGCCGCGACAGACGCGCCACGGCCCTTACGGTGCCTTTGTCGAGATAGTAGCTAGATCAACTTAGGAGCCAAGATAGGAACCATTACTTAGAGTGACGTGAGTAGCATGTGAGAGAGTAGAGAGGTTTCACTAACAACAATAGTACAAGATATAGATGCAAGGGAAGGTGGGGAAAGGGGCTACACCACCAACAAAGAAACTAAATGATCCAACACTAATTGTCTAGCATGCCGTTACATATGATTTTTTTTAAGAGCAATATTGTTGGAATCACTGAACAGGAATGAAATGAACTAGCAGTGAAATGAGTACAAGTACCTAACCCTAGAATTATGTACCCCCTATAGGCTAACCCACTGTAGCCTAAACTAACACAACATATATAATGTTTGACACACCCCCATAGGCAAAGTGGGGGAGAACTAGGGGTCACAAGACCAGTCAAGGCAAAGCAAGGCAAAACAAGCTCAGGGTGGATCTCAAGGATACCACACAAATTCCGAGCACAAGCAAGTTGTCACAAGACCAGTTCACATGCAGGTTTATAATAGAGCAAAAGGTACAATGATCACAACCTAACAAGAGTAAACATGCAGGTATATATATAGAGATCATAGTACAAACAGACTCAAGAAGTAAGCAAGTGAGGTCCAGTAGGCACAAGGCCTAGAAGAGTGCAAAAGCGCTGATGGTCACAAGGCTGAAGCGCCTTGGTGAACACATCAGCAGTGTTGGCCTCAGAGGCCACGTAACGCAGGCGAAGCTGACCACGCTGCTGCAGCTCTCGAGCAAGGAAGTAACGCAAAGCTATGTGCTTCGTTCTGTGCTCCAGTCTGTGCTCCTTAAACAAGGCAATGGCTGCCTTGTTGTCGACGTACAGCACTGGAGGAGAACGATGCTGCTCTCCAAGGTCGGTCAGCAAGTAGGTGAGCCAGCGTAGCTCCTGGGCCACCATGGCTATGGCGTAGATCTCAGCCTCACAACTGGAGCTGAGAACAGAAGAAGAGCGAGTAGAACGCCAAGAAACAGAACCAGAGCCAAGACTGAAGGAGTAACCCTGAGACGACCGCTGAGTAGCCTGGTCGTCTGCCCAAGAAGCGTCTGAGTGCCCAGTGAGAACAACTGGGACTCGCCCTCCAAGCACTAGCCCCATGCCCGACGTACTGCACAAGTAGCGCAACACCCTCTTAGCTGCATCCATGTGCTCCTTCCGGTGACGGCCGGGAGCGACATAGCGTGCAAGAATACTGAGAGGTTATGCAAGGTCTGGTCGAGTGCAGGTCATCAGGTACATGAGGCAACCCACAAGCTCTGGATACGGGCCACTCGGCTCTACGGACTCATCCGAAGGCAGAGCTGAGAGCGAGTGACCGGTAGGCAGAGGAGTGGGCTGAGGCGAGGAGTACGTGAAGCGGAAGCGCTGAAGGACCTGCTGCACCATGTGTGACTGAGTCAAGGTGATGGTGCGGCGTGCTCTGTCCCGGGTGATCCGCAAGCCAAGATAGCTTGTCAGTTCACCCAGGTCTGTGCACGTGTGTCTCTTCTGCAGCTCCGACTTCACGTGGACGAGTGCCACAGTGTCAGCAGTAGCAAAGACCAAGTCGTCGACGTACACAAGGACGTAGAACGGCGACAGTGAGGTGTCCGTGCGCAGAAACAGCGACGGGTCAGCAGTAGAAGGCGCGAACCCAAGAGCCGCAAGCGTAGTCCTCAGTGTGTCGTGCCACTCACGAGGCGCCTGGCGGAGACCGTAGACTGGCCGTCGGAGGCTCCACTGGGTACCAGGAGGGAACGACCCAGTGAAGCCAGGTGGACGGCGCAGCCAGATCTCCTCGTGCAGGCTGCCCTGTAGGAAAGCAGTGCTGAAGTCAAGCGAGTGGAGCTCGTAGTCACGCTGAGCGGCGACGTGCAGCAGAACCCGAAGAGTGGTCATCTTCGGGGTCGGGGAGAAGGTCTGGAAGAAGTCAACCCCCTCTCGGTGACTGAAGCCTCGTGCAACGTAACGCGCCTTGAAGACAGGCGGAGAGCCCGGCGGCCGCTTTACCCTGAAAATCCACATGCCACTGACGATGTTCGCCCCAGGTGGGGGAACCTCGTCGACGTAGGTGCCTGTGGACTTCCAGGAAGCCATCTCTGTGTCCAAGGGTGACTGCCACTGAGAGGAGTAGGGACCGGCCATCACCTCTGCGTAAGAGCGTGGGGT